TTCATTAAATTATGTAAGTAATTGTATGCTGATAATTAATGAATAAAATACGTTTAGTACATTTGTCCACAACCTGTTCACTCTAATCTTTTTGAATTAATTAAAATGCATAGTTCGCCTACCAGAGGGAACACACTTTAAATTGGCCTCCTGTAAATTCACAAAAGTGTAGACAGAACCCTCGGATCCTGGGGTCGCGAAATGTTTAACATTTGTTGCTAATTTGGATCAAATATGAATGCAACGCGTGTTTCTTAGGGGAGATCATGGAATGAGCACGTTATGAAATGTGATACATAAAACTCAAGGAAAGTGAAACAATACTTTGTTAATGTTCAAGGAAGTAAGCGAAGATCTAGGACGACACTCCTACACTCGCGTATACACCACATCCGCACTAGAACAGTAATATAAAAAGAGAATGCTATATCCAAATTACACTAAGATGCACTATGAATAAATGGTACGGAAGGGGTGTCATGCTCAAACTCTCCACGCACCATGAACCTCTCCATTTGGAAATAATTTATATGGCGCTACGGCAAAACGTCTGCCCGTCCGTCTGTGAACAACGCCAGTGGCTAAACCGCTCAGTCGAGTTTCTCCAAAATTGATATTCCTGAATCGATCTGGCTGATGTCGCAGTTCCTTTACTTACCATCCGTTACCGTTACTTGAAATCCATATTTGAATTGTGCGGCGTGCTTTACACGAAACCCGAGGGACATTTTCAAAAAAAATGGCGCCATCGGTTTTGTTGTTCTAAAGGACGTTTCAGAGAATGGCGCAGAACTCATGTTGGTTAAAAACCCTGATTTTCGAATTGAAGAGAAAAACAAACTTTTTTTCGGCATCTTCCTACAACGAAAATATTAAAGATAGAGATATTTCCCTTAATAAAATCTCTTCCTTAAAGGTAGGTTATGAAATAAGGTCAGGTACAATTTTTCGAAAACGTCAGTATTTTTCGCGTAAGTTTGCGTGAAGTAAAGGCAATTTTTGTTTAACGTTTTTTTTTCTTAAAATTGACGCCATCATTTTTGATGAAATTTTATTGGTGGATAGTCGTTTTGGAATTGGTCGATTAAGGAAATGGTGATCTTATGTTGATTGAAAACCAAGATATTTTCGAAAATCGAATTCAAAACTTTTTTCGGCGTCTTCCTACAACTACAAAGATACATTGTTTTACTTAATGAAATGTGTTCACCAAAAAAGATTTTCAAATAAGGTCACGTTGAAGTTTTCGCAAATATAACTACTTTGGAATAATTTAACGTCAAAATTAGTCGCCAGCACTGAAATTCCTGTGCTTAATCTTAACTTTAAGAGGAGTATTGAGGCAGTTGGATGCTACGTAATTATGTATTTCATATTTCATTGTTAGTTTCTTACTTCGGAGCTTTTGTTATACGTTCACAAACTAATCTTCTATTATTTATCTGAAATTAATTATTTAAAGTCTATTTGAAATAAAGATAGCTAGCCTTTAGACGTCCGATCCCAATTTACAGCTCCATGCTACCCAAGTTAGAATTTCTATTCTATCTTCATTTTGTTATCTATTTTATTTAATTTTAAATTGCGTCCTTTGTATCAAATTTAAAAACGAATAGACGAGCGGTCATTGTTGGTTGTCACCCACAGTAGTATCGCTGGACAGATAATAGAAGCCGATAACGACGGCTGCTCTTCGTTCGCGGTAATGAAATTGATTATATATATATATGTATATATATATA